ACAGAGCAGTTAAATGCTATATCAGAGGGCTCGAAATTTTAATAAACTAACGTGAATGAGCCTGCACCGAGTACACTTTTTAAATAAACGATCGGTAAATTTATGCTCGGAGAACTCGGATCAAAATACCGCACGCACGGTTCGTGACCGTACTACACGCAGAGCAGACTAAAAATTGACAGCATTGAGGATGGGTATCAATTTTCCAGCACGCGTGCCCAAGTGCCACTTCGCTACTAGATTGATTGAGGATGTAGCTTAAGGGAGCAAATGTATCTTTTAAATCTTTAGAGAGTGTCATTAAAGCTTATAAATCTTGTTTTGATGGCCTGGGAGAGTTTCCCACAAGCCACTATATAACCTTGAAAAATGACGCAATTCCGCATGTTCAGCCTCCCAGAAGGGTTCCGAAAACACTCCATGATAGATTAAAATGCAAGTTAGAACAACTCGAAGCACAAGGTGTAATTGAAAAAATTGAACGTCCTACTGAATGGCTAAACCCGCTAGTAATTGTCGAGAAAAAAATCATGACTCGCGGCTTTGCTTAGACCCTAAATATTTAAATAATGCGATACAACGCGAACATTTTTGATATCTACAGCTGAAGAAATTGCTATCAAATTGTGTGACAACAATACTTTACAGTTCTTGACATGAAAGATGGTTATTTCCAGGTGAAAATTGATGACCAAAGCGCGGATTATACATCATTTGGAACGTCTTTTGGGCGTTATAGATTTCTTATGTTGCCTTTTGGCATTTGTTCTGCGCCTGAAGTCTTCCAAAGAAAGAACTTGAAGGTATTGGTGACCTTGGAGGAGTGGGCCTTTACTTTGATGATTTAATTATAACTGGCAGTAATGAACTTGACCATGACAGAAACCTTCAGTTAGTTCTAGAACGTGCTTTAAAATACAACATCAAATTCAATAGTTCAAAAATTCAATTTAAATGAGAATTTGTCAAGTTCATGGGCCAAATTTATTCTAAAAATGGTGTTGAACCCAACAAAAACTATGTAAAAGCTATAATAGATTTGTCAACTCCGACTGACAAAAATGGAGTTTTAAGAATTTTGGGAATGGCCAAGTTTTTGGGCAAATTTCTACCTAACTTGTCCAATGTTACTCTGCCTCTCCGGGAGTTGACAAAGCAAGATGGCACATTCCACTGGTCTACCGAGCAAGAGCAGTCACTTTCCCAACTTAAGCATTTCTTAACAACTGCCCCTGTACTAAAATTTGTTGATTTCTCAAAAGATGTAGAAATTGAAACCGATGCTTCAAAAGACGGTCTGGGTGCGTCCTTATTACAAAAAGGGCATCCAATTGCATTTGCTTCGAGAAGCTTAACACCCACAGAACAGAAATATTCTCAAATTGAGAAAGAGATGCTGGCCATAGTATTTGCAGTTCAAAAATTTCACTTTTTCATTTACGGTCTAAAAAATGTCAAAATAAACTCTGATCACAAGCCTTTGGAGTCCATAATGAAAAAAGATTTAGCTTCAATAACACCTCGCTTGCAAAGAATGCGATTAAGGGTTCTAAATTATGATTTACATGTTACTTACAAGCCTGGCAAGTACCTGTATATCGGTGATACATTATCAAGAGCTTTTTTATCGGAATCAGGTTTGAAAAGTGATAGGGAATTTAACTGAATTTAACTTTGCTATTCATTCAGTAATAAAAAATATGTCAATGTCAGATGAGCGAAAACAGCAATTTAAAGTGGAAACCAAAAATGACCTACAACTAAAAATATTAATAGATTACTGCCTAAATCGGTGACCAGAAAATAAACAGCAACTGCCACATTTTATTCAACATTATTTTAAAATCAAGGATAATTTAACTTTCGCAGATGGGTTGTTATTATTTTCTGAAAAAAATGTTGTGCCTCTGTCTCTTCGGTTTGAAATGTTAGATCTTTTACATGAGGGTCATGTATAGGAATCGAGAAATCTAAAGGGCGTGCGCGTCAATTATTTTACTAGCCAAGTATCAATGAAGATATTGAAATTGCATTGCTTCAGTCTCGTAACTCACCATTAAAACATATAGGTTATTCTCCCTCCCAGTTGCTCATGAGCAGAATATGTAAAACCAAATTACCAATTAGTATTGACTTGTTAAAACCAAAATTGTGTGAAAATGTATTAGAAAGGTTAAAAAATAAGCATTGTATTTACAGCAAGTACTATAAAAAAAACTCTTAAAATTTGAAACCTTTGAAACCTGATTGCGATGTCATTATTCATAATCATGTTCAGAAGCAATGGGAACCAGGTAAAGTCGTTAGTGAGCACAGAGGGCCGCTATTCTTGTTCTCGAAAACGCTTACAGCTTTTCATTCGCTCGGCACTTTTAATGTAAATTTATATTAGAAGTGCCGAGTGACTAAAAAGCGGTAAACGTTTTCGAGAACGAGAATACCGGCCCTGGGGCCTTATTCTGTAAGGAACGAAGCGTTCGATTCGGTAGAATTTTTTCGATTGTGACGTCATTTTAGGTTTGGTAGCGCGAAAACGAGCGAAAACTAAACCGAAAATGACGTCACAATCGAAGAAATTCTACCGAATCGAACGGTTGTTCCTTACAGAATAAGGCCCCTGGACTCCACGTTCTTACCTTGTTCAGAATAAATATAACAATGTAGTAAGGCGTAATCGAGTTGATTTAAAGGAGTCTTTAAATAAATTCGTTCCGTCTTCAGAATATGATTTAGATGTAGAAATTACGCCAACTCAGAAGGAACATAACGATCAGCCCCAGATCCAAGTTCATTCATCTATTCAATTCAGCTCTAAAGCTGGAGATATTCCTTTAGAATCATCTCTTGTCTTGTCTGATGATAATTTAAAAAAGACTAGGTCTGGTCGTATTTCCAAACCTCCTAGTAGGCTTAATCTTTAGGAGGAGAGATATGAGATAATTAGTATTATTATTGCTTTAGTTCTACACCTTTTCCATAAGTATTTCAGAATGTATCACTTGTATTTCAGATTCATCAATTCTAGTTCAGAATGCGTCAATTGTATTTCAGTTGTGTAAGTTCAATTTCAGAAAGTGTTATTTATATTTCAACTTTGTCAGTTGTAGTTCAGAAAACATCATTTGTGTTTCAGATTCGTCAGGTGTATTTCAGAAAAAGTCATTTGTATTTCAGTTTGGTCACTTGTATTTCAGAAATCGTCATTTGTGTTTCAGATTATTTATTTGTAGATCAGAAATTGTAAATTGTATTTCAGAATTCGTCAAATGTATTTCAGATATTATCAATGTAGTGTATTAAATAAAATTTATAATGAGTCACCTATACACCTATCTTGTGTTGATTTGGGGAAATCTGCGTAGATACCTACTAATTTCCGAACTACATCTGACAATTTCTGAAATACAATTTACGTTTTCTGAACTACAATCAACTAATCTGAAATACAATTGATGCTTTCCGATATAAAATTAACTAATCTGAAATACAATTGACACTTTCTGAAATAAAATAAACTAATCTGAAATACAATTGATTCTTTCCCAGATAAAATTATTTATTCTGAAATACAATTGACGCTTTCCGAAATACAATTTACTAATCTGAATTTCAATTGATGCATTCTGAAATTAAACTGACGATCTCTGAAATACATATGGAAAAGGTGTAGTCTAGTTAGTTATTGAATGTGTTATGTAGTACATGGTGACAACATCAGGACACCAGGTCTGATGTCAACTAGTTTTGTAAAACGTCACATATTAGATCCATGTTGTCAAATAAGTTCTCGTCAAATATGAGAATTTTTATGGTTTTGTTAGTTTATGGTCGATTCTGCAGCCTCCTCACACCCATTTCAATGACATGCACTTCCGCTTGAAAGATGATTGAATGGTGGATAACCTAGTTTTCGGATTTGTACCATTAGGCAATCCATCTGTCAAAAAGGAAAATTCAATATGGCGTGGCGGCCAAGCAAGCTTGTTTTAAATATGTTTTTATGTGTATTTTAAATTATTTTGCTTGTAACTTTGATTTTGATTATTTAATACGATATTTGTTGACTAGGTACCTGAACTATTACATCGGGCAGAAACTAGATATTTTTTTGTGTTTTTTTGGCCCATGTGTAGCCGCCACGCCATCTTGAGTGTCACGTGGTTTGGATTGCCTAATTAACGCTCGTTCCCACCCCACTGTCTGTCTTCGATCCATCCGAGAACAGACATAGATCTACTATTAGTAGGGCATGCCCATTCTGCACCCACTCTTGCCTTTCTGGGAAGGCCATTGTGTGGAGTAAGGCGCTTGTTGTGTGTGATGACAATGGAGACAAAGATGATTACGATAAACCCTTAGCAGCAGGATCCGTTTAAGAACAACGACGGCTTATTCTTTTTCATCAAAATCTCGTGATATTGAAGTATTTGTATACGTTCAGTGGGAAAGATGATCTTCACAGAAGTTGAAATTCATTTTCGTCAAGAAATCATTGATAGGAAAACCTTACTTGTTTGTGCAAATGGAGAGGAGTTATAAATCTTGAATGATTTTATTTCATCAACTAAAGATGGAAAAGACAAAAAGTCAGAAAGAATGCACGATAATGGATGATGCTTTGGAACTATATGAACAAGTGCTGTCAAAAAGAACTGTCAAATTCATATACCTAATAGGAATAATAACTTCGTTCTTACGCCGAAAATAGGAGATCTTTCACACACCTATCATATTCACAATTTGGAACCATATGAACTCAATTGTTTCAGTTCTTACGAAGCTGAGTTTGAACAAGTTAGCAAGATGTTATATGTCCAGAGAGCTTTGAACTCTCATTGGTACTAGGATGAAAAACGAAGAAGATTTATTGCTCAAAGAATATACCAGAATTCAATACACCCTGCATAAGACACTCAAAGCTTTATGAGGGTTTTAAAAATATCTTTTAACTTATTGGGCACGTTCCACACTTGACAGCAAACAATTGTTTTATACTCTACCTTAAAACCGAATTCATTTTTCGACTATTACTCAAATTAATGCAAAGCTTTCTCATTTCTTCTTCAGTATTATTTTTCAACGCTTCTAGTTTCAGCTTAATTTTATCGTTGATGATTTTAAGCATTTCTTCAGGAGTTCCAGTTTTGCCTTCCAAAGTTTGATTTATACTGGCCAAAAGATCCAACTGAAACATAAACTTCTAGCCTAAAAGTGTGCAGCTGCAAATATCTTACCAAAAGATCTTTGACAGATATATCTAAATATTGATCCAGTTTGGCATGGCTATCTGATAATTGATTATGGTTATTGAGGCTAGTATAAAGAAGCAAGGCTTCGTCTACCAAGGAATCGTAATTGTAATTATTGACCAAACCTCTGTGATCCAAAGGACCTGAAAATTATATCATTATCCAAACTCTGGAAGAAATCAAGCTAGGAAACTACCTGGCCAGATTGGTTGAGGTACTGGTAGATCCACTCTTCCTTCTGGTATCGTTGTAAGAGTCCCACCAGCGGAAGAAGAAGAATGTTGAGATGGCACTGATTTCGTTGTTTTAAGTCCTCTTCCAGCAATCTATAGAAATATTATCATAGTGTTTTTCAATTATGCTTATCAACAATGCTTCCAGAAGCAACTACAAATTAACCCTGAACATTTGAAGCATGATAAATATGGTTTATTTAGATTGGCTTTCCGGAGAAGATTTATAGTAGAACACGTATCTGCCGAGTTGGGAAAAAGGGCAAAAGTTACCCTAAAACTAACATCAACTTTCTTTCATGATGTATTAGTGTTTTTGAATTCGACGTTATACCTGAGGCAGAGACTCTCTTTTACTCAATAAGTTGCTATTTAAGAAAAAGTTCTAGTCCGATATAAATAGGTAAGTTGTTCTAGGTATATTTTCTCAAAATCTTGACGTCCTTTGAGATTCAGATTTATCTCAGAATAATTTTTATAAAAATAAGATTTTCTGAATAATTTCTTACCCTAATCGACCTTACAAATGCAGGATTATGTTCAAGAACGGCTCCAGCTTCCTCCACCAATTGCAATCGATCATTGTCCAAACTGCTACCCCCGTAACCGGAACTAACAGATTTCATACGGCTTTGTAACGACACTTTACGACTGTCGCCGGAAACGAGGGATGTTTCGCGAAACTTATAGTCCGAGCTACTCGTCGGTGATTCGTCATCGTAGTCGATTTCAGGCGTTTTTTCTCTTTGCGGACTAAAATCTGAATGATTTCGGCGTTTTTTCGTTTTCACTTGTCTATCTGATAAAGGATGAGTAGTAGTTTCACAACCTGATGGCGGTGAACGAGGCCTTGTAGGAAACTCTGGATTAAATAGAGGATTAATCCTGAAACAAAAACATTAAAAATAATTTTTTGCATGTCACAATAAGTTTATTAATTATCTGTTACGAGATCACGATTACAGGTGGATACAAAGCAGCAGATAAAATCTAGGAAGTATATGTACAGTCACGAAAAAGGCATCGTTTTCATTTGAAATTTAGTTACACCACTGTTTAGCATAAAGCATTTAAATTGCATGTTGTTTTTGTTTCTTTAGAGATATGACAATGTGTCCGGTTAAGCAAACATTTTAGCACTTCGAGAGAGCCAAGAAGATTTGTAAATAAATATACAAAGTCAGAAACTGTTTGTGAAGTACCTACCTAATGTTATGCAATTCCTGCTTGAAACTTTTTTATAAAATTATCTATCTTTTAAATCATTTCAAATGATACAGAAGAAATGCTTTTGCGATGCAAAACGTAAATATTAGCTTTTCGAATTAAAAATCTTAATTGTTACATCAAAAATAAAGATAATAAATGTATGTTAGTAGTAATAAGTTAAATCTATCAACAACTCCTTTTGGTTTTTTGAATGGTGTTTTACTATGAATACACTTATTCATAGGCAGGATAATAAACATTTTGAACATGCAACGATTATTTTCAACTAAGCCCATTAGTTTTTGTATTGAGAACAACATGTCCTGGTTTGGTTCAACAGATGAAATATTTTCAATAAAAATGACGTCTGTTCATAAACACTCGATATTCCACAAAACACTAGAAATAGCCCTATACCTACTTACAACTCTGAAACTTGATAGGTACCTACTTTGAAAAATTTTCTCATAATTCGTTTAAAAAAAAAACCTCTTCCGTAGCTATCAGCTTCCCGAAACATAATGCCACAACTCATTCTCGACTCAATGTTTGCGTAAAACAGTATATGACAAAATTTCACTCATATTCGTCGCTTTTCTAACAAACGGGCGTAAGCGACAATATTTCTAAAATACAGATTATTCCATGAAAATATTGCCATGGAGTACATATATGATCTGACCAACTGGCGTATTTGTATAAGTAGTATTTTTCCAAATAGAACATGGTTGGTATGGGCGGAAGCGACATCAAAAGTAACCGCAGGATCTTACTAAGAGGCGTATATCCCGAAAACGGATTTACGCCTTTTTGTCAGATTTCCAACTAAAAATGTTTCGCTGATGTGCCCCGATGAGCTATAACTTTGCACCGGCAACCAAGTAGCATAAATTCATACATAATCATTCCAGTCGCTTCCTGTGGTATTTACCCTGCAATGTTTTCTACATTTTTCTATTGAAAGTGAAGATATTAGGAGTTTGAGTGTGCTTTTTATTGCAGTGGTATCTGTATAGGTGAGTTAGCAGTAGTAACAAAAACAACATGAAGAAAATAGCATGCACCCTTAGAACTAAGAACAGAAGGAACTGCATACGTGAGTACTTTTTTGAAAAAGCAAGTTCCGCAAAGAATCATGAAGCCACGATGTGATTCGCAAAAATATAAACATAAGGGCTGCAAGTTGTTTACTGAGGAAGAACAAGAATGCCAGAAAATATTTCATGCTTTTCACAATACCAAGTCTCCAATTACAGAGGGAGCTCATTGTACGCCATATCAATGAGAATGATGTTTACAGGAGAAGAACTGCTGCAACAGAGTCCAAAAGAACAAGGACTTTGGCTTATTGCTTACCAAAAGGCAGAGGATCATTACCAGTTTGTAAAATTACGTTTCAGAATACACTGACAGTTGCTGAAAAAGCAGTTCGGACGGCAATAAGCAAGAGAAAGAAGGAAGGCATAGTTTTGTTCGATAAACATGTAGGGCATTGCGTTATACAAATTTGGAACAAAAAGACCTTTGAAAATGAAACTACAGCAAGGAGCGTTTTCTATCTGTCACTACAGTTAACGCAGGGACAGAAACGGCCATATTGAGCCTCCAAGTATTGAGTCATCATTTGTTTTGGTGGTTCGCTGTGTCCTCATTAAAGTGGATGTTTAATGGATTTTAGTGGTTTTAAGTGATAATAAGCACTGGGATTAGCGCGAAAAGAGTGATTCATAATATTGTCAATCACATTTAAATAAATATACGCCACTGCCAAACCGGAAACACTACAGTCATAGTCGGCCATATGCAACCTCCACATATTCTGGTCGCGCAGATTCGAAGTTATGCTCCTTCCTGTAGTTGTATATTTAAAGAAAACGACGAAGTTATGAGAGCCTCAGCTCTGGGTCACATACAAAAGTTCCTAAAAATGGAGTCGCACTTTTGTAGAAAATCGACTTCAGAAGAATATTTACATCCCGACTTAAACGTGGAGAAAATGTTTAACTTGTACCAAGAAGAAAGCCTGGAGCAGCCAAAATACAGGTACCATATTTACCGTAGAGTATTTAAATCACTGAATCTGTCCTCTGTTCTTCTACCATTCCAGGAAGGACCAATGCAGGGAAGGTGATGCAGATAAAAATTAGAGCTTCAAGGATGCATACACTGCACATGTCGCCGAGAAAAACACTGCGCAAAAAGAAGGAGGATGCTAAGGAAATGTCCAAAAACAACCCAGATTTAATAGCTGCTGCTGTTTTTGACATGCAACAAGTTATTCAGTTACCTATAAGTGAAGAAAATGCATTGTTTTATCGTCATCGTTTGTCGGAATTATTTACCTTTCACTATTCACAATATAGGCGATAGAGAGTGGTCTGAAGGTTATAAGTAAAAGGGTTGCCAATGAAATTACTACATGCGTTGGCAGATATTTACACAACTGGACAATCAAGGAATCAGAGAAGTAAGGCTCTCCGCAGATGGTTATGGTGGCCAGAACAAAAACACAATAGTTTTCACCATGTTACTACATAGTGTCGCAAATTTAAAAAACATACCTATACGTGAAATTTTATTGTCCTTTTTCGAAACAAATCATGGGCAAAATGAAGGGAATTCCGCACACAGTTCTATTGCAACAGCAATTCGGTCCGCGGGAAATTTTCATATATCAGCACAGTTCCCCCATCTTCAAACTCGCCAGAAAAAAAGTGGCCATAGGTACACGGTTTTTGTAATGACTATTGGCTGAAAAAATCCACCTTAACCAGAAAACTGGAGCCTGCCTGGTGAAAATGTCGATTGGGCCAAAATTAAGGAAGTAATGGTAAACAAAGATGACGTTACTGTAGTAAATATTATAAAAAGTCACCATGATGCTGAATATCAGAAACTGCCACTACAAAGACTACCAAAAACCTAGCCAAATCAAACAGTAGCCAGATAAAGCTCCCAGTAAATAAATACAAAGATTCTTCTTTTTTACAATAAAGTTATTTATTTATTTCTTCTGATTTAAGGGCCCCATACACTACGGTGAAACACGACGGTTTTCACCGCCGCGAGGAAACACGTCGTGCCAAAACCGAAGTGTGTGGTAGAAAACCGTCGTGTTTTTCTACCACACACTTCGGTTTTGGCACGAAGTGTTTCCTCGCGGCGGTGAAAACCGTCGTGTTTCACCGTAGTGTATGGGGCCCTTTACAGGGACTTTTTTTTCAATGTTAACTTTTGTTCGTGTTTCGTTTAAGAGTGGGATTTTTTTTGTTCTTTACCGCAGATTATTACTAATGTTTTGTTAAGTGCTGTACTAGGGATAAGTACGGTAATAATATTCAGATCCCACGAAGAGACGTATGTCCATCTAAGTCATATTTTATCATATTCGCCTGAAATTTCTTGAATTCGAATAGTACTTGGAAGAAGTATGTGTATTGTGTATTTGTCTGTCTATATAAAATATTATAACTGGAACTGCCTTTCAATTAACAGAAACACGGAACCATGTTTAAGGTACATTTTTTTAAAATTGCTTTTCTGACAAATGATGTTTATGGTGCTTACGCCCATTTGTCAGATAAGCGACGAATATGAAGTAGTTACACTGTTTTATATGATGTGACCAGGCTAATAGTTCATCCAAATAAACCAGAAACCTGGTATTTTTTCCATCAACTTCATATCTACTACTCCAAGAGATATTTTTCGCGGTTTGCTTTATTAAACAGTTCTAACCCTGATTGATAATCCAGTGACCTCTCTTCCAGCTAATCCAATTGACAGAAGAACCCACACGATTGCCGATTCCGTTTTACAACTAGGCCAACTTACTCCATATGTTTTTTACCACTAATCCAGATCCTTACAAGATCACTTGTTTGCAACTTTGGGCAAATCAGAGCACAAATTGATTTCCGCTCAAAGTTCGTTTATTATACCCAACATCTCCTGCTCCAATGCCTCGTAGGGTGGCATTATGGAGCTGTAGAATGGGAAGGCCCTCATTCTCTCGACCTTTTCGTGGTTCGATATTTGCCTTAAATCCAAAGATCCAACCGGGTCTGCACAAGAGGTTACCGAAATAATTTCCTTGGGTATGGGATTGAACATTCGACATTCCAATAAAACAACCCGTGCCGGTGAACCCTGGTTTGACAAGCAGTGTGCCCGAGCGGTTGCAAGAGAGAACTCCGCATTACCTGCCTGGCGTAGAAACCAATGCGAACAAACTCTATAGTCCTTTACGGCTGTCAGAAATTATTGCAACCGTATAACCAATGAGCCTAAGGACCTAAGGAGTTAGACAACCAACAAGTGCGTAATCGACTTTCGGACTGCCCGAGCGGATTAAGATCCTTTTGGTCCTTTGCCAAGACCATAATTTCACATCTTCTTCCTTCTCACCTTCAATTAAGGTAAGGACAATAATTCCATTGTAGTATCGTAAAAAGAAAAAGCAGATCTCTTTGCCAAACAATTTGCATCCTATTCCACGATGGCAGAGGGCCACAGGTACTGCCACACATTGGTTCTCACATAAACAACATTGTATACAGACGTAAAACTATTGTTTGTGAATAATGGAATACATAATACAGCATCTTTCCCTTCTGACAAACCGCTTACTGCAGCCAATTATTCCACACGCCTCGCTCGAGAACAGATTCACTCTA